GAGAATTGTTTGAACCAGGAGGCGGAGGCTGCAGTGAGCTGAGATTGTGCCACTGCACTCCAGTCTGGGCAACAGAACGAGACTCTGTCTCAAAAAAAAAAAAAAAAAAGAGCAACTTGCTGCTTTGTGAGGTTGTGAGCGGCCACCACTGGAAGTCTTTGAGAAGTGGCCAGACACCACTGTAGCCAGGCCTGTCTTAAGAGGACTTGTGCCTCCAGGGACCCAGGTAGGCAGGATGATGGCGCAGCTCTTCCTACTCCAAGACAATGCTGTCCTTCCCCTTTCCCATGAAGTCAAGGTCAAGCAGCAAATAAGACTCCCTGCTCCACTCTACCCCCAAGAGAGAAATGATTCTCTCTCCTTTCAGATCCCCCAGGATCTGAGGGAGAAAGGCTGGGAGGAGGGGCAGCAGCACTTCGCTGGAAAGGCAGCAGACGCTTTTCCAGCCCCGGTTCAGCTGGAAGGCTTGGAGGCCGGCCAGACCACTCTGGCATATGCCGGAGTGGGTCCCTGGAGACTGAAGAGGCTCGGTGGAGTCTGTCTGTTGTCAGCGCTGCTGCCTGATCCCTGCAAGACAAATGGCACTTTCCTTCTTCAGAAGCATGATCTGCCTTTGTTATTAGCAGTAATATTATTACCAGTTATTATTCTTGCTGGTGCCAGTTTTGCATATCTTTTTGTTGCTCTATTTGTATCTCATTTACTTCTCAAATTGCCCCTGGGGGCAGGAATGAGGATGCAGAGAGATGCACATTAATTACTGTCGCATTTTTCTGTGGAGAAAACTGAGGCCAGAGCCGATTGCTCACAGCTAAGGAGCTGTGATTCAGACCCAGTTCTGTCAGCTCTAGAGGCACCTGCATCCGTGCCCACCAGGGTGATCCCCCTGGGATGGACCATCTCTGGATATGGGGCCTCGGAGACTGGGGTTGAGGTTTGGTCCTGAAGAGCTTGTAGCCAGATTGCCACGTTCAAGTGTAAGTCCAGGAAAGGGGCAGGCGGCAGTGCACATGGATTTATCAGTTTCAGAACCTCGCAGTGATAAGAGGCTTCACAGAGCATCTAATCGAGACCTTTAATTTTGGGGGGAGAGCAGCTGAGGCCACATGGAGAATTAGTGGAGAGCTGACAAGAGTCTGGGCGCCTGGCCCAGGGGTCCGTGGTCCAGCATGTTGTGCATTCAGTGGGAAGCAAAGGGCTTGCCCAGGATTGCCTGCCCCAGCCCCGAGGTGGCTTGTATTCACTGCAGCTGCCACCGGCCCCCTTTGCTTCATCCTGGCAGATGCCCAGTGATTGTCCCTGAGCAAGTCCCAGGGTTGGGCTGAGCTGCTGTGACAGGGAGGCCCAGGGAGCTCTGCTCAGGGAGCCAAAGGGAACAGTCAGAGCCTGAATGTTCTATGTTCACCTGCCCCAGCCCCTCCCACCCTGGCCCATTCCACAGGCCCCTGACCATGGTCACTCCCTGAGAGGGATGGAGGAGACGGTGGTTGAACTGAGTGCTGAGAACCCAGAGGGACGGAGTCCACAACTTCCAAACAGGAAAAGGGACCTCTCTGAAAACTCTGGATAACCAGAATTATCACAGCACCCACACATTCCCAGTGCGTCCTTCTGAGATCAGACCTTGGGCATTTACTGGGTTTCTTTTTGAGGAGGAGGGAAAGTGACAAAGGACAAAGCAATGCAACCCATCATGGCTGAAGACGATGAAAGACTCCCTGGAGCGAGAAAACAGTTA